TACTGGCCCTGTTCTAAACATTTTATAAGCCCATGTGTTAATACTACATTAAAGTGAATTACCTAAAGAGATAAGAAGGGGTGATGTTTGGTAACACGCAAACCCAGCAGTGCAAGAACTGTACGACAAATGAGAAACATCTCATTGTAACTTTAGCCGTGATTTTCAGACCAGAAGAGGACCCCTCTCCTGGAATGCCTCTGTTCTGACGGAGACCTCGAGGGCATGTTGGGCTCCTGCACAGGCGACTGGCACACACGGAAAACCATACGTGTTGCACCTCTGTGGTTGAAATTTCTGAGTACCTTTCACTCTCACCAGAGGTTTTACTCTGACCAGGCTGCTGACCCTCTGAAAAGCCCTGACAAATGACCAGCATGCCTGTGCTTTGCCTGGAAAAAGGCTTCTGGATGGGAAAAGTGGAGCACCCTCATGCATGGTATCTATGTCCTTGCAAAAATGCACCAAATTCTACACTAGAAATAGCTATTTCTTAGTAAAATCAAATTAGCTTATCATTTACATTCTGCAATTTATATGTATTTTGTTATTTATTAGCAATTGAAATCAAGCTCAAGATTTGGATCTTTGCAATGTCCTGGATCTCGCTTTACATTTGAACTCTCTGGGAAAGATTGCTGGTTACCAAAAGGAGAGAAGTACATTTTGCTGGAAAAGGTAACTACATTTTTCCTGCTCTGTTTACTACGTTAATTACATCAGTTGATTAAACTAATGATGCAAACCCCAGAAGGGAAAGATTTTATCCTTGAAACTGACAAAAAAGTTCACCCTGTGCCTCGCAGGACATGCAATAACACAGAATATACTCTTATGCTTCGTGGTCCTGGTAGATTTGGGGTAACTGTGATACTTTCGAAGAGATAAGAACAGCAAGATTTTAAATGGGATAGCTCTTGGATTAAAAAGCCTTGTGTTGCTGAAAAATTGCATAAAACCATTCAGGCACACCAGGCCATTTTCAACTGTCTCAACTACTTACATGTGTCTGGTGGCTCAAGAAGAGTTCCTTAATATTTGCAAGACTTTTATCTTGTGAGAAGCACTTTACTGATAAATATGCGTACTGGGATTGCACACGCTGTCGTCTAGTGTTGGCCTCAAACGTCCCTGCATTTGCAGGGTGCTGGTGTGTGCCCCATGCATGGGCAGTCTCGCCTGTGGGCAGGGAGAGCTGGAGCTCTGCACAGCACCCGTCGCGTCCCGGCGAAGCGTGCTGCTTAGATGCATGAATTAAGAACCCTTGCCCTGTGATAACGTGCAGCAGATAACACTGTTGTGTGAAAAGCAGCACACGACACCCGGCAGCACTCTGAAGGGCAGGGGAGGCTGGCACACTCCAAGTCGCATCTTTCTAACGCTGAGATGCGCGATTAGAGGAGCGCAGTGGGTCAGAATGTAGAAATTGTTTATCTCCCCGGGGCTACTGTGTGCAGGACAGATGGTGTTTCTCCCCCTGCCTCCTCAGCAGTGCCTTCTCTCTCCCTGCCTCCTCCTGCAGCCCTCTTCCTGCAGTTGTGTTCTGCGGCTTGCGTATTTTACACCAGTAATTTTCAAAAATAAAATATAACCTATGCAGTGTACATTTCCTTAATCTTTTTCATCATAAAACCTAGGAACACATGTGAAGTTTGTGGGCTTGGACTTCATCCCCCCCCCCCAAACAAGCGGTAGCTGTATAAATACATGATTTAAAAAATCACTGCTTAGTGGATATCTGTAGTATGAATTCCTTTAAATAGTTAATGCATTTTAATGTACTATATATTAAAGAGCAATTAAAACTTAAAGATTAAATGTGTTCCCCACTGCAGTTGCTGCGGATTAAGGACTTGCATATGATGATAGCAGTATCTGATCTCATTCAATCATGTGCCTCAGCTTAAACAATCCTAACACAATTTAACAGCGTCCATACAAGGGATTTTGCCAACCTAGTTAAATCACTTTTTGACAGAAAGAGAGCCTGTCTTTATGGGAGGGTGTCCATGCCCTGCCCTGCCATGCACCGGCCAGGAGGAGGAGAGTCTGACAGCGGCTGGGTGCAGCATGGGAGGACATCGCTCCTGAAACACACCATTAAACTACAACTGCCCTGCAAAACACCTCTTTCTAAATCATTAAAAAACATTTCCTGGTGTTGTCCATGTGAAGGTGTATTTCGTTAATAGTTGTTGTTTGGGCTTTTAACATGGAAAAAGCCTGTTTTGTAAATCATCTCCTAATTTCCAGGTATAAAAGTGAAACATGGTTGTTGTATAAGGTGCTGAAGTATTAAACTTGGAGCATCCTGCTCCCTAAAAACCAGTTCTTGGTGCTTCATCCTGTAGGAATTAGTAGTTAAGTCCCTCCACCTGCAAAACAAATGTAAGCATAGTACCGCAAATATATTGTGCTGAGCAGTCTGCTTATTTCTGCTTTGAAACCCATGTGTTATTTCCTGGGAATAGATCCTTGAGAGATGCTGTCCGCAATGCTTGGTTTTTTGAAAGAGTCAAGCCAGCAGCAAGATCTTAAAATCCTTCAGACAAGGGGGACCTTGGGGGCTGCTGCCAAGGGAGGAGCGTGAGGGTCGGCGCTGCCCCACTGCTCCCTCGGCAATAAGCCTTCCCCATGGATGCTCCCCCTCCAGCCAGCCCATGGTGCAGAAGTTTGATAGCGGTTACAAAAGGGAGCCCTGGCACTTGCACGACTTCTCCTTTGCCCAGCACGCAGGGCTGTACTGCTGCCCCTGCTGCTGCCAGGAAGAACCATCGCCCAGCACCAGTCCTGCCTGTCCCTGCCAGCTTTTGCCTTCCCACCCCACCTCAGGCTTCAGTGATGCCAATATAAATGACCAGGTCTGGAGAAACTGCATTTCATTAAATGGCAGCTCTTGCAGTGACCTCAGCGATGAAGCCGTGCAGACGGACACCTCCTCCTGGTCCCTGGCAGCGGGGCTGTGCCCGCTCTGCCAGCACACCAGCTGTGGGTTAGCTGCTACGTGCCACGGTGCTGGGAGGGGTATGAAATGGGCTGAGTAATTTTTGTAAAACTATTCTGTTAACTCATGCAGCATCCTGTAGGATGAGATGGTGACCCTTCGTGCCTTGACACCAGCCTTCCGACAGCACAACAGTAGTAGAGGGAGACACTGGTAGAGGAGTGGAAAGAAATAACAAGAAATCCTGTCCGTAATTCCTGCTAGTGTTGACCGCAGCATGCCTTTGCAGTGGTTTCCAGGCTGCTTTTACCTGCAGGTTGCACCTCCAGCACACCCTGGAAGCACGGGCAGTTAAGGGACGCAGCTCCTGAGAAACAGGCCGCTTTGCAAGCTTGGGTCTTGTGCACTGTACCCTGCAAGTAGGCAGCCCTCTTGCTCCCTGTGCAGAAAGCGGCTTAAACAAGCAGAAAGGAAGCCAGACAGCGTTTCCGCTGCAGCAGTTCCCCGCGCTGCTGCTCCCCAGCTGCCACCCACACACCCCTCCTTGCCCTGTGCAATAGCCACCACGGGCAGTCGGCTCCTACCGAGGTGCTGCCCCAGGCTGGGAGCTGCTCTGAGGTTTTACAAAGGCTGGCAGTGACCGGTGAAGCTGGGGGGGATAGCGTTTCCCTCCTTGGGTTGAGCAAGGGCCGTTTCTAGCAAGTTCTGCAGTGCTCTTGCTCTGCAGGGCTTTGGTAGGAAGGGCTGTTGCTTGTGCAGGAAGCCCGGAGATGGTGGCAGCCGCAGCAGAAACAACAAAAATGGGTCTAAATATCTCTGGTTGTTGAGGCCAGCCGTGCTGTGGGCGCTGCCAGCAGTGTGCCAGCGGCAGCAGCGGCAGTGCCGGCTGGGCAGCCGTTATCTGCGGCTCACAGCAGGAAGGGAGGCCCGTGGGCACCACCCCAACCATCGCCCCATTTCCAGGGACTGCAGGTGATGGCCTGGTCGGGTGGCCTGAGCCCGTCCCCCCACCAGATGCCCATGGGCAGATTAACGGGTCGCAACGGAGACGTGTTCAACTGGTGCATTTCAAAATGCGTGTTTGTGCCCGAGACGCAAGCTTCCCCGGCAGCGAACCATGCTGCAACTCGAGATGTGGCTGCGATGCAAAAGCACTTCCCCTTGCATCTCTTTTTTTATTAGCTGAAAGTAGTTTTTGCTTCTTTAAGAAAATATACATGCAAACCACAGCCCGTTGCCGTGGTTACTGCTGTATGCTACTGCAAATAGCTTATTTCACATCCTTAGACCTATAGGGCCTGGAAAACATAATTCTTCTGGCCTTTCACCGTTTCCCCTCTCACTAGGCCACCATCCCACTGTTGCAAAAAAAGCATGTTGTAATTAGCCCCGTGCGCCGCCGGAGGAGGCGGTGGCTGTGCTGCCAGAGCGCTGCAGCATGCACTAACGCACCCCACGCATCAGGCCCCCCAGGTAAGAATTATGCTTTTTACCCCACTTTGTGGCCCTTGCCGGACGTGCAAATTCGCAGCAGAATAGTGTACAGTTGTTTAGCGGGTTACGGTAAGTTGTTCAGAAAGCTAAATTGTTTTATTATTTATGTCTGCATTTCATTGTGCCTACTTTGGCATATAGGTCTTGCTGTCTTGAGATAATTTAGGGAAGATTTAAATAATATGTTAAAGAAATGAGCACTAAATATAAGATTTTGTTGTGTAAAGTTGAAGTAACAAAAAACTGCAGTTCTTAAGAGTATTAAAAGTAGCAGTCAGATTCCAAAGCAGACCCTTCCTGGCACTTGCCGGGGGCGCAGCAGGACCCCCGTGGTGTGGAGCTCCTCCAGGTCCCCGAGCGAGCATTGACCCACTCCCAGCAATACGTGGGACAAAGCTGGCGCAGGAGCCAGCCGCCGCAGCGCCGGCGGGTGCATCGTTCACTTGTCTTTTGCTTTACTATCATTTTGTCAGTTAATCTGCTGTGGTGCTTGTTCTGCTGGAAAAGTTGAGAGAAAGATTTTTCACGTGCTTTCGAGAGCCCCATGAGTTTGTTTAACAGTTTATTCTGTACTGTTGGTGGAGTGGAGACAGGGCGGGATGCTTGTGCTGAGGCACCACCGCCATAGTTGTGCTGCAATTCGGGTGTGTTTCTCAATGGGGGCCAAGCGCTGCTCCCCCCGTGCGGGGGTCCCCTCCAGCCCTGAGTGAGGTGGGTGGGTGCCCGTCCTGCAGCATCGCTCCCTGGCCCCGCTCCGGCTCCCTAGGAGTTGCTGGTAAAGCCCACGAGAAATTAAAATGTCATTAATCCCCGAGAGTGAACCCTCGGTTTCCTGCTGTGAAATACGTTGCTGCCGGCAAATGTCCCACCAGTTTTCCATGATTAAATATGATGTTGGATCGCAGGCAGGGTCCACTCGGACTGAGAACCTGCACTGCTCCCCATAGAGGTTAAAGTGGGCCCCAGCACTGCCAGCTGGGCTCCAGCACAAACTGAAGAGCAATAAAGAAATCTTTACAGAGAATGCAAAGGATGTGGCATATATCATAATTATTCACTGTGAAGTGTGGATTTTGCTCATTTATATGCTTGTAGACTAGTAGAGATTTTAAATACTTTATTACTTTTAACAAAAATATTGTCACTTGATAGTTGCAGGAGGCTTTAAAATAAAAGGACAATACAGTGGAAGGGCCAAGTTTGAAATTTGTACATTAACTTTAGTAAAATGCATATGAAGATAATACCATTAAAACAGAAAAAAAAAATCTTTTAGCACTGTCGTGCGAAAGCGATGGCCTCCATGTTGCTGTGAAGCAGAAGCGGAAGTTCGTTACTGCAGAAGTTGCACTGTGTTAGAAGAAATGTAACGATTGCTTTCTTTATCAGCAAGACTGAAAGTTAATGTCAGACCTTTTCAGGGAACTTGAGTTTCACGAGTGTCAAACAAATAACAGCTTAAGGAAGCGAGTAGCTTCTCCAGGATCATAATCGTGTTTAGTCTGCGTTTGCAGTAACTTGTGTACTTGCCTTTTAATAAAGGCCAGGGGAAAAAAAGGAAAATTAAGAGTACAAGGTTTATTTTGTGACTATTGTATTTCAGCTATTTGTTATGATAAAATGAAGCCACGAGACATATTTCAAGCTATATTGATTTGCACTGTGATTTTTACTTATCTGTTTAACAGACAGCAGTACAGCAGCACCCTGTATCCCTCGTGGGTGGGAGTTCTGCAGTCCGGCTGCAGTGAAGAGCAGCCCAGTGCTGCTGTAGTCACTGTGCGGATCGGGGGGGCAGGCTGCTAAGGAGACTGCGGATCTCTTAATGTAGTTATCCTTTAAGTGCTATGTTACTGTAAATACTAAGGAGAGAAGCTTTGCTCTTGGGTGCACAGCTGGAAGTGCCTAAGCAGCTGAACAAAGCTTTCTGCACCCATTCCTGCCCAGGGCTGCTGGGGGCACCGGTGTAGTGCAGCGCAAGCAGGGAGCGTGCCGGGTGCTGGGGCACGGGGCACATGGGAACGCTGACTGTTCATCCAGGCTGCTCTCACCCAGCGCCAGCTACACAGCTGGCTGGAGTCCGGGGACTTTGTCAGCTAGTTCTGAATCAAATTAGGTTCTTAGCTGACCTTTTTCTTCTTGTTCTTCTTTGGCAAAAGATTCCTGTTTGATTTACAATCTTACTCAAGCAGGAGCTGGGGTTTGAAGCAAAGAGCTGGTGCAAGCCGAGCTGGAGGCTTTGGTCCTCGCTAGCTGTGTGCGCATCAGTTTGCGCACCTCCAGTCACCTATGCCTGCCTCCCTATAGGCACCAGGCCTCTATAGGTACCCTCAGGCTGCATTGGCAGGCAGCAGGCTGCCAGGGTGGCTGCCTTTACGGAGTAACGATTGAAAAAAACCAGTCGCTGAGTTGGCGGGTTACCTTCTCCTGCCCACACGGAATGCCTTAAGAAACCCACCTCTGAGGGAGGGCTAGAAATGATCTATGAGGCTTCCATAATACAAGTTTATTAATCTTGCAGACTTAAGTCATCTTTCAGAGTATTTATCACATTTGTAATGACAAAGAGAAAATTTAAATATATTTTCACCTTATGTCCCTAATGCCATGCCTGTGACAGGATGACCTGTCACTCAGAGTTTTTGCTTTAAACTTTTCCCTTCAGATCTTTTTGAAGTAGGAACTGAAGTGGGAAGTGCTTTTATTCTGCTTGAGGCATAGCTGTGAAGAGGATGCCAACAGCCATCCTCACGCATGGCACCCAGGACATGTTGGTGTCCCACTGCTGTGCGTGGGGGGCTTCTGCCAGCCTGGGCTGGATTGTCATTGGCCCTGCAGCCTTCCTTGCCGCGTTTCAGAGGGAAGGCCGGGCAACCGTTGCACAATCTTCAGAGGTCAGACTCTTGCTTCACTTGTGCAAGGGCTGCGTTAACTCAGCCAAGAGAGTTCCTCTTTTTTGCTCCAGTTGTAATATCACATCGGGACTCTAAAACATAAAATGTCTCTCAAAATACTTTCTCTATACACAATGTGTTTCTTTTTTCTCTTCTCCTAATTTATGTCTTTTTGTTTGAATGACATATGAAGCTAAATGTACAATGACATATTTCTTTATCTTTCTCTGCTGGAAGGTAATTTGTCCATTGTCTTGTTTGGTATCCCAGATGGTAATTATCATTATCAGATGATAATCTGGGAGACCACTGGATCTGCGATTTCCTTATGGTTTCCTCTTTACCATGCCCTGCCTGGACATGTTGTTACTGCAGAGCTTGTGCTTGGTATCTGTGCTCTAGGGGTTAACCCCCTGTAACCTATATAAACCTATGTGAAATAGAATACATTCACTTTATAGGATATAGTGAGAAATAACATCACAGATGAACAGGGCATAAACCCAACGATAAGGCAAACTGGCCCTCTACCTTGTCAAAGAAGGGACATGTTTGAGCGGGGTTCCCAGCAGGAGCCAACACCAGAAGAAACGCCTGGTGGTGGCAGCTGGGAGGAGAGGCTGGCAGGGCTGCTGCCGTCGCAGGCAGCAAGTACCAAACCCAGAAGGCAGGTTGCTGTGTGCTGTCACGTGAAAATGGAACTAAGTAAACCTAATTACCAATGTAACCAAATAACGGCTGTGAAGGTAGGCCCTTTAAACTGGGGGTGGAGGGGCCTGGGTAGGGAGCTGCCATTCCAGCTGTGCAGCTGTGAGCATCTTGGTGTCCACATACCTGCTCTGCTGCCGCTGTCAAGGCAGGACAAGGAGGCACAGTTTAGACACCAGTTATTTTTTAAAGCTAGCTCTGTGCATAGAAAAGATCATTTGTGCAGACACTGGCCTACTGAAGTTATTTAAGAGAAATCTGGGGAGTGACGAGTTTGTACGGAAAACTTTGTGACCGGAACAACTGCTTTGAAAATGCCCAGTGTACTGATGTAAGCATACAGAAAGGAAACAGCCTCGCGTATGTCTTTGTGATAGAACAGAAACAGGAAGAGCAACAAATGATCCATTACAACATTCATTCCCAGAGACTATCAAGGTGTGTGCAACCAATGCTGATGTTATCTGAGTGGTACATCTGTACTGCTGCTGCTTTATATGACGACAGGCAAAGTCATGTATATCAGGCAAATATAAAAATACAATGGGATACCAATTATCATGCATTTTTTGCTGATCTGGATTAAACTTCTTTGAAACACAAGTGTAAATTCATGGCATATTTTCCTGAAAGAAAAAGTAATGTTTCTTTATGTCCTTTCAGTCTCCAGTTTCTATAAAAAAAGCCCAAAATGATAAACAGAAAATACCAGAAAGCTCTCCCAGTCAGTGACGTGTCTTCGCTTCCTCGGGCACTCAGCACTCCAGGATGCTCCCTGAGGCTGCTCGGTCTGGGCAGTTCCCGAGGAGGGACGTTCAAGGCATCCCGTTTCTCACTACAGGTTCAGAAGTGCTGTGTGGTCTGTTGCAGGGTGTGATTAGAGCACACAAAAAGAAAAGTTAATTATATTAATGCCAGGCTATATAATAGAACAAAAAGCCTTAAGAAGGAAACAACTGGAGTTCAGATCTCTTGAGCAGGTAATATTATTTGTCTCCCAAAGTGAGGAATTATTCATTAAAGCTGAAAAGCATATTATCACCTCATTTCACAGATTTCTTTTAGTCTCCAAGCCTAATAAATTTCAAAGCAAACAGCAAAGTGGTTTGGCTTATTCTGTTACGGACTGAAGGATGTGGCGGATGTCATTCTGAGCAATCATTTGAAATTTCAGAAGTCAATAGAAGCTCAGTATCTATAAATGAATAAAAGTAGCATTCAATTGCCGTGGAAATACCACTTTAGTACCGATTTTTTTAATTTGTCAGGTAAAAATAAAGGTATTCTGGAACAACTGAGTATGGGTAACAAGTGATGCTCAGAATTATAAACACAAATTACAAGACTGGGCAGGGAAAGACAAGCACGAGAGGGAGAAGATGGAAAGACAAAGTTCTAGCAGAACTACAACCCCCAGTGTGTTTGGTAGAAAAAGTAAAGTTGGAACAAGGTTTCTGTGTTGATAGAGATGTTTAACACAAGCAAGTTACACTCCTGATATTGGAGATAAAACCTTTGATTTTTTTTTTCCTTGTCTCCCCTGAGGTCAATATGCCTTGTAGTTTCCTTGTTGACTGGCAATGAACACCAGCCTCACAGTTTAAAAAAATACATGGCATGGGAGTCCCAGCCTGCGGAAACAGAGACAGGCTGAAATTAAACCACATCTGAAAATGGGAGCCTGCTTGGGGGGAGGGAGGCCGTGTGTTTATTTTCTGGCAACAGGGCACCACTGCACGACTGCTACTTGTCTCAGCATCCAGCCCCAAGTGTTGCCGTGGCCACTGTGTGCTTCCAGTCGAGAGAATCCGTTGCGGTAGTAACGTTGAAAATAGTAAAGAATTGAGGAATCAGAATTCAGAATAAAGTCACCAAGGAGCGTAAGGTGTAAAAGACAGAGGCGTTCAGAGTATCTGGTCTTTCCATGCAAAAGGTGAGCAGGAAGAGAGATGTGGGGCATGGGACATCACAAGCAGCACGCACACCGGAGCATTAAATCAGCCCCTTCGGTGAAGTGCCCATGCTGGACTGAGGCACTGGCCTGAGCTGTTAGGGAGCTGAAAGGGAGATCAGAACAAATTTGAAAACTTAACCATGGAAAAGCCTTCTATAGTTTTTTGTGGTTTAATTTCTGAAATGTGTGGTACCCAGCTCCTTGCAGCAGCCCTTGAACCCCTTCTCTCGCTGTGCATGCCGCTGTGCTGCAGTCCCTGCCGGTGAAGGACCGATGCTTAACGCCTACGGGACTTCAGAAAAAATTGCCTCCTTACAGACATTATGATGTCTTTTTGACATGGTGTAGATTATTGTGGCAGCACAACTCATTTATAGGATTCATGCTCTTTCTCTCTGTGAACACTCATTTATTTGATGGCTCTTAATTTTCACAACCAAAGTGAGGAGAAAGCCCTATGGAGGTGGAGCTGCGAGCGTTTGACATGTCCATTTGATAATGCTTTCCAAACCTAAGAGCG